TAATATTTCCACCACAAAACATGAATATTCATTGAGTTGGATCAATGCATTCTAGAAAGAAACTTTTGTCAGCTCAGATTAGATGTTACCTCTAGGGTTTCTTGCTAATATATCATAATCCAACTTAAAGTTTTGAATTTCAGAATTTCATTAAGGGTCTTACTCTTTGCCCAAGAAATTTGCTGTAATTTTAGATTATAACTGATATTATAACTGATTTAGATTATAACTTTAGATTTTAGCTGATATTGGGACTGAAATGAAAGAAATTATGAAGTTGGAAAAATATAAGACTGGAGAGAGAGGTAGCTACAAAGGGTTGGCTTAATATTTAAAATTATTAAATATGTATGAAATATGTAATATACATTTTAATGTTTTATGCATATATGCATTTTTTTTAACAAAAGTAACATTCTAAGATATGTAAATTATTGTAATTCTTAGTTTTATGTCATATCTTTAAATTTTGCCTGCAAAGTTGAATGTTTGCTTGTTTTTGCCTTGTCTCATTGGTAAGTTCTTGAAAATATTCAAGAATATGCTGTTAAAAAAAAGGGAGGGGAAGCATTTTTAGACTTCAAAGATCATAAGAGATTCTTTGGCTCATTGTCTAGATGAACTTCACTGTGTGTCATCCAAAATGTATGAATATGTTCAAACCTACTGTTGACTCCATCTTACATAAGAAAAGCGTATTTCAAGAAGGGCTTCAACGAGTGCACAGGTGAACTCTCATTGGTTGTGGAGATTTTAAAATCATCCTATAGAGAGTCCCGATAAATGCAAGATCTCACTGATCACTTGTGAAATTCTTTTCATGTGCGGCTAAATCCTCCATCCTCTGGTATTACAAACACTCGCTCATGCCCTATCTTTAGCAGAGGTGTTCTGCCCATGCTTGTGAAAGAACATCTGACACACAGGATCTGAAGACATTACATTGCCTCTCAGTATTGTCCTTTCCAGTCCTGTCCTTTAATCTTTCTCAAAGGTCTTATTTTTCAATTCTTTAATCATCTCAGTGTAAAAAGGGTGGGGGGGGAGGGGGGGGACCTAAGTTCCCAAGTTCCATTCCCTCTTTGTCATGCAGAGGCATTGACTAACATGAGCCCCGCAAGTTATCTTCCCTGTTAAAATGGAAACATTGCTGTTGACTCATCATGCCTTTTGGAAACAAAACAATAACAAAACATAGCTACAAATATATTTCAAAATAAGATGTAGAGTGTGCAAATAAACCAGAATTATCTTTCCTTTGTATTACTCTAGTTCCATTTTGGGCCCCACTTCATGGAAAAATATAAGCCTTGATTATCCATTTTCACCAAAATAGCATTTACTCAGGCAAGAATATTAACTCAGGTAAGCAAAATGATTGTTCCTTTCATCTCAGCAATTCGACACCTACTCACCTTCCAATTGACTTTTTATAGAATATTAGTTTGCATTAAAAAAATCCATTTAATTGCATTGGAAAAACACTTTGCTGCCAGCTCCAGGCCCATACTATGTTGCAGCTGCTCCTATTTAAGGGATAATTGTAGCCTCACTTTTCTACAAGGACCTAATTCTGATTTTGAAAGGATTTGTCCTCACAGTTTATCCTGATGAGAGAGGACTGGATTATTGCCCTGTAAAATAGCTGAATAGTCCTATTACAGCTATTATGCCACAAATGTTGTATATTGTTGAAGATCAAAGTACTGTACCACACTCAATGGTGAGATGTACAAGCATGGCACACTTCCCATATTATGTAAAAAAAATACTGCATTTTATGAGTCATTTAGTACCATGTGAGGTATCTATGGACCCGGTATCATTTCCTTCAAACTTTCCCTATCATTCTGAAATCCTTTATTTTCTGGTTGAAAGACTTACAATCTAGTCATTTCTCACTAGTCTCCGCAGGAAATAAACTTTGCTACCCTGTGTTCTTCCATGGCAGGATATTACTTATTGTGTAGCATTCCATGTTACATTTAAGTTAGTTCAGAAAAATGTTCAATAATCCTGGACCATTGTAAGTTCTAACTAGTAAATTGACAAAATGTAAATGTTTCTCATTACAACAGTTAATGATGTATTTTTTGAATCTTTAAAATGTGTAGGACACAGTATTGATGAGGTTCTAAGGAAACCAACAGAGCTACTTTCCCTGTCACCTGATTGGGAAGGTAAATGTGAATGAATAATCATGCATATGCCTTAAAATGCAGGATGGCCCATAGGAGGTGCCAAATGAATGGAATTTAAAAAGAATGAGGCTTTCTTCTATACAAAGATTGTATATAACCTATTGATGAAAAACCTGACAGAGGATGCCAGTAAAAGGACTAGATTTTAACTTAGTTATGCAATGCATTGCGCTTTTACTTTCAGTATTTGACACTTCAAAATCAGTCCCTCTGTGTGTTTCATTCTCACCATCAACCAATACAGGGTTCTTCCCCCCGAAGAAAAACTAATTCCAAAATCTAACAAAAAATGCCCAACTGGAAGTGCCGTTTTCTGTTGAATGATTTCTATAAGACTCTTAAAAATCACAGGTAGGATAAGCTGTTGAGAGGACACATTCCATATATGTGATTTGGAGACATTACTACAAGATTTAGGATTTACCTACATAATAGAAAGAATCAGAAAACATGAAATGTGGTCAGCGAAAATCACAAATTTGAAAAAACAACAATTTATTAAACTGTAATTAAAATGAACATGAGTAATTTTGAGGCAGCAACATCAAATTCTGAGTGTGGCTTATAATTATTGGTTAGGCTAGGCAACATAATTAATAGAGCTAAATGAGATAATGAAATTAAATATAAAAAAAATGAGACCAGGTCTAAGACATGGTAGGCATTTCCCGAATTGTAGGTATTGATATTATAACATCAATATTAACAAGGACACATTTTGTTCATGGACACATTTTACTAATTGGAGTATGTGAAGTTCCTAGTTCAGATAAATGAATTTTAACCTGGACCTATACAATAACTCATGCATGTTTATTTAGAGAAACTGGTTAAAATGTCCAAACTCCATAGTTATCCTCGATGTGCCCTTGTGAGGATCAACACAAAATGACAATCCAGCTTATTGAATAAAGTTTAATGCTTTCAATATTTCCTTTGTGCTCGTTTTCTCATTTCTTATTGATCCGTGGCTCTCAATCTTTCCTCATCACTAAAAATCGCAGGCAATTTTTAAAAAATTCCTCTGGTCAGATCCTGCCCTAAATGAATGGAATCAGAATCTACAGGGTACTTTTTCAAATGGCTAAGATGACTCAGCAGACTAGACAGGATTGCAAAAGACTGGTCTAGAAGACTATAAACTCATCTTGAGTAGGAACCATTTTAAGTCATTTGTTTTCATATTCCTAACTTTTACACCATACATAGCATTTTTAGTTTGTGTGGCTTTCTATATCTTTGTATAATAATATATTAATGAGTGAATGAGCAACTAAATGAGTAAACTTAGCTATGATATGGACTTGAATGTCCTATAAATTGAAAAGTAACACAACGTCTGTCTACTATTTTAATTCTTAGAATTCACTCAGGGGTTTAACTATTCAACTTTCCCCAAGTTTTTTTTTTTCAATAGAATAAAATATATCCATTCAAAAGGGCATAAGTAGGGCATTAAATTTTATTATTGTTTCAAGTAGTATTGTTATTATTATTATACCATGATGACCTTCATGATCTCCTCTCTGCATAAGTGGAATTAGAAGCTTCTTTTTTTTTTTTTTTTCACCTCCACTGCTCAAATTCCCACCATGCAAGGCACAAAAACATATCCCTTGGACTGCACACTTGTTATAGAGAGGAAACCAGGCCCTTGAGTGTTAAGCGAAACTTAACTTAGAGGAACAGCAGGCCCTATGAATTGGAGTTTTCCATCAAGTGGAGTGGTGGATATGATGTGCAGAAGATACCATTATCTGCCAGGTGTCAGGATGTTGACAGTGATATTGTTCTATCCCTGAACCATATTATTTCATCTTCCTGATGTTCACAGGGCCATCAAACAGAAATCAGTTACCGGTCCTAGGAAAATTTTAAAAATCAACTTTCTAAATGATGGAATGTGTTGGTGATGAATGTAGGACTGATGACAGAACCTGAAGCTTTGATACATTCCATTTAAACCATAAAGGGTATATTGTTATTGTGGAAGGAGATACATATAGGCACATTTTAGCATCTATAGTTGAATTTTGAAACTGTTGCTTATAAACCATAAAACTCCATATAAATTTTATTATAAAGACCTTTATTAGGAGGAAAACATCATCTTTTTTACCTCTTATTTTGTGCCTCAAAGGGTTTGTGAATGTGAAGAAGACTTTTTTTCCCCTTATTGCTTCATCTTCCCATCCCAACCTCCACCTTGTTAATCTTTATTTATTTATTTGAGAGAGAGAATTTTTTTTCATTTTTTCTTAGTTGCTCAAAACATTACAATGATCTTGACATCATACATTTGATTCAAGTGGGGTATGAATTCTTATTTTTCCACGTGTACAGATTGCAGTATCACATTGGTTTTAAGGCCACGTTTATACATACAGCCATATTAGTGTCTATTGTATTCTGCTACCCTTCCTATTCCCCCCACCTTCCCTTCCCCTCCCATTACCTCTCTCTACCCACTCTACTATGACACTTTTCTCTCTCTCTCTCTTTTTTTCTTCCTCACACCATCTTATATGAGAGATAATTTTTTAATATTTATTTATTTTTGTTTAGTTTTCTGTGGACACAACATCTTTATTTTTATATGGTGCTGAGGATCCAACCCAGCGCTCTGCGCATGCCAGGCGAGCGAGCTACCGCTTTGAGCCATATCCCCAGCTCCACCTTGTTAATCTTGAAGGTAGGGGAAATGTTGTAGTTTTGCTATGTCTAAAACAATGATAATAGGAAGAAAGAAAACAATGATTCAGAGGATGGACACAGACTGCAAAGAGAGGACCAAAGACATTAATTTTATCATTTATTATAATGTTTTCATAGTTTTTTCTTGCTTTCCTTTTTGGTCTTTGCTTGAAGAGACATAGCTGGAGAAAAGTTGCACAGAGCAGCTGGCAATCAACATGTCCTGGAAGGGTGTGTGGGGCAGCAAAATGTTCTCAATATTTTCCTTGGCCCCAGAAACAAATGATGAAGAATTTCTGGGCTCCTTTGCAGGGTCTTGTGTTCTTAAAGGAAGGGCTACTCCACCCTGGGAAGATAATTATTGCCCACTACTATTTGAACTTCCCACCCAGGACATCCTACCCCAACCCCCAACCCCTGAAAAAGATGTGCTCAACAGTGAGTGGCCAAGAGCCCCCAAACTATCTCAAACACCAGGAGACAGAGTTGCAAGTCTCTGGCTTGGGGACACGAAGCAAGAAAACATAGTTGGTGATATATCCTTATTCCACTTTACCAACTGGAGAAATGGGAAGGCTGACTGCTGGTCCTCCGCAGACTGCCAAGAGCACTATCCGGCTATAAAAAAAAGAAGAATCCCATGAGCAGCAACTAACAAACCCACAGGTTTTCCCTCTAGCCGGATAGTGTGCTGATAATCATTTCCTTATTCACCCTTCGAATCACCCCTGTGGTCTTTTGTGAGTCCCCAAAGGCAGCCTCAGCCTTCACAAACCCTCCAGTGGGGTAGAGATAAAAGAGAGGTGCGGGCAGCAGGCGGAGCGAGAAAGAAGAGGAGCCACTTTCATAAGCCCATCTATTCCTAGACAGGAGGGTTCGGATCGGGTCCCTTGGACAGTAGCCCACTCACAACGCGCAAAGGGGTCACGCTCCCTGCGGGTGCATGATCCCCAGGAGCAACGTTGCGCAGAAAAGTCATCCCCACCACGGGCAGGGAGTAGAAGATAGTACAGCAGTGACAGGGGCTGGGACAGTCGCTGAGGGGTAGGTGGGGGGGGGGGGGGCCGGAAAGGGGGGGGGGGCTGGGGGGGGGGGGGGGCAGAGGGGGAGGTGGAAGGGGGGTGGGGCCGGGGCGGGCCCGGGGGCGGGGCTGCGGGGTGGAGTGCGCCACAGCGCCCCCTCGCTGCGGGATTCCCGCGGTGCCCCGAGGCCGCTAGTGCTCCGGCTCGCCAGCCCTTTTGTGTGAGACGCACTGCCCTGCGGAGCGCGGCTAGTGCACTGCAGCTGCTCCCTGGGGTCCCGCCGCTTCTTCCCGGGCCGGGCAGTACTTTCCTCTTCCTTCTCCTCTGCTCCTCCCTCTTCCAGCCCCCAGTCTCCAGCAGCAGCCATTGGACCCCGAGCAGCCCGCGTCTCGCAGCGCTCACCACCCCGCCCGACCTGGGGTGCTCGCCCCCCCTCCCGTCCGGTCCCCTCTAGATCTCCCCCCTACTCGCCAATCCCGGGCTTCCAAGGTGGAGAAAATAAACTAAAAGCAGAGCAACTCAGAGTCTCCAACAAAACGCCCAGTACCTAGAGCCCGAGCGCGTGTGCCGGTCGGCTAGGGGCGCGGGAGGCGGGGATGGGGGGGCGGGCGGGGGGACAATGAGCGCATGAAGTTACCTGCCCAGCAGCGGCGGCGGCGGCCGAGAGGCGGCGGCGGGGCGGAGAGGCGGCGGTGGAGCAGGCTGCGCGCTCGGCGCCGACGGGTGCGCGCCGCGGCTTGGGGGAGAGTTGAGCGCTTTTCCCCCCTCTTTTTTTTTTTTCTTTTTTTTTTCTCCTCTTCTTCTTAAACAAACCACAAACGGATGTGAGGGAAGGAAGGTGTTTCTTTTACTCCTGAGCCCAGACACCTCTTTCTTTTCCGTCTAAGCTTGTTTTGCTGAGCACTTTTTTTAAAAAAGAAAAAAAAAAAAAAGGAAAAGAAAAGGAGTTGCTTGATGTGAGAGTGAAATGGACGTAAGATTTTATCCACCTCCAGCCCAGCCCGCCGCTGCGCCCGACGCTCCCTGTCTGGGACCTTCTCCCTGCCTGGACCCCTACTATTGCAACAAGGTGAACGCTCTGCTTTTGTTTCCACTGTGTTCTGCGGCTTGATCTCGGGAGGGGGGCGGCGGCGGCGGCCGAGCCGCCTTGGGACGGCTTGCCGGACGGGGCCGGCTTGCTGGAGACCCGTCCCGGGAGCGCTCGGCTTGCAGCCCGCTGCAGCCCTGCGTGCGCTAGGATAGTAAATATTGTGGAGCAGCTCCAGGGGTTTGCCAAACACCGCGATTGTGCGGAAAGTGACACGATTTGCTCGGATTCTTTCCTTCCTGCTGTTAGCGATTAGGGATCCATGTTTAGGTTTGCCGGGGCGGCGTTAAAAAAAAATAAGAGGGAAACCACGGAATACTTTGGGGGTGTGTCTGGGGTTTAGGGACGAAGGTAGAGTAAGAGAATTTAGTTTATTTCCCAGTTCTTCCTTCTTCCTCCCTCCCTCTCCTGGGTAGCGGGGGGCTCGTGGCATCGCTTCTCAGCCCAGGATTAGTTGCCAGGGCAGACTCAGGGAGTTGGGGTACAGGAACCCAGGAAGGGTCCCTGCCCCCTACCTTGGAAATTGTTCTACAATTCTTGTTTCCCAAACCGATTCCAGCAGCCAAGCCCCGAATTCGGGTGCTGGCCTGCGCAGATCAAGGTATAGCCGGCTAGCCAGGTCATGATTTGGAGGACAGCTCCCCTTTGCAGGGTGCGCGCGGAAATTGCAAGTTTGTTGGAAGCCGGAGGAGCGCGTTGCGTTCAAGTCCAAAGCTCCCATACTCAGCGTCGGATTGAAGCAGGGTTCCCGGTTGGGCTGCACGTGCAGCCCACCGACCCTGGGTGGTGCCACGTCCCAGGGGAGTCGGACAAGGTGTACCATGCTGGTGACCCGGAATGGGGGCACAGGCCGGGGTTCCTGTGGAGCTCAGCTAAGACCATGGCTAGGTCTGGGGAACGTAGGGAAGGGGTTACTTTCCGGCTGCTCGCACTCTCATCCCGGAGCGGGAGGACGCGTAGGGACCTGACCCCAAGGGGAGCCGAAGAGCCACAACCTTTTTGGCCCGCGGCTTGTTGGACGTGTCTAAGCAGTCCCGCGGGATGAAGGTTGGCGGGGAGAACTGAGTTCTTTAGACTCCGGGCGGGCCATTGAGACGCCCAATTCTGGCTTGGAGATAAACCCGCCTGACTCTTACAGACCCTGCCGGCACTTATTATATGTAGACCTCCCTTCGTGAATTTCAGGAGAAAAATCGTTAGAACTCCCAACATTTGCCTGGTGGCAAATCCTCACCAAAACGGTTTTTAAGGAGATCCAGAGGTGTTTAGCAGGCGGTATTCTCAAACCCTGGGCTCCCCACCATGCGACTGACTCCTGGCTCTGAGTCTTGGTCAATCTGTGACACACACACACACACACACACACACACACACACACACACAGCTGTGAGTAAAGTGAACCGCAGGCATCACCCTGTGGAGAAGCTCCTCCATGCTGTGTACGGTATAAGACTTATCAAAAGGGCTGTGCTGTTTGTGTGCTGATGTTTAGAAAAGTTAGAAAAGAGGAAAATCTATCTTGTGAAGACAGAGGCTTTACAGTGGGAATCCATTCGCTAAGGGGCAAGTCGAAAGGTATTGGGAACTTTGACAAGTGCAGAGGAGTTTGTGTGATGAAGTTTCATTATTTGCTGGTAACATAGTTCTTTTACTCTGAAATCTGTTTTGCCTTTACAGTTAGGTATTTTATGTTTTATTTTTATTTTGCTTACAATACGAATGATAGTATTAAATAAGAAACAATGAAGTAGCAGTTCTGTCTTGAAGATTAAAGACATATTTGTTCCATAGTAGTTACCAAAACCAAAAGATCAGAACCATTCTGGCAATAAAACTGGACAAATCTTATTAAATTTATCAGTGATTTTAGGCTTCAAAAAGAAGGTAATGACTTGGATACACATTTCACTCCCCATTCTTGTGATAGTAGGGTCAGATTTAATTTAAAAGTTAAATGCTTTGGAAAATCAGGAATTACTTCAATATATTAAATCATTTTCCAATTAAGTGCTTTAAATAATTTTAGTGGGTTGTGCTGTGAATTGAATAAATTAATTTCCAAAGTCTTCAGAATTTCTTTACTAGCTCATTGAAGTTCCTTTTAAGTCACCCTGTGTATAAGAAGCAAACTGTTCTTTTTAAATGCAAATTAGCCATCCTTTCTATAGACTAGTTGCAAGTCTTCTATTTAACTTACCCAGGGAATAATGGATTTTTAAAAATGCAAAGTCATAAGACACATTTCTAATGGTAGGAAAAGACTTCATGGAAATGTTTCTCCAGGGACGCCTTCTCCTGTCCATTCCTGTGTAGCAGTCCATCAGATATATTTGTCACTGACCCCTGTTTATATTAAATGTACTGAGTAGGTTTCAAGGCCCTACAAAGCTCAGGCACTTGTGTTTTCTACTCCATCATGATTAACATTGGTATGAAATTTCTCTCTACCTCCACTATTTTGGTTGCTTAGATTTTAGTCATCTAGCATTCTTTTTTTCTTCTTTTTCTTCTTTTTTTTTGTGATGGCTTAAGTAGATTCGCAGAGATATGGAAGAAAGGCAGAAGTTCAGAAGAGGCAAAGAAAGAAATCAATATCTACATTTAAAAAAAAAAAAGTTGGATCAGACTTACCAATAGAGACAAGACTAGAGACAGGACTGAAAGGTAAACCTTTGGTCTTTCTGAGGTGTAAGGAACATGAAGTTTATTACAAATAATAGTCACTTTGTCAGGTTATTTGTTTTTAATAGGATGATAAGATTATAAATTACTAATTATCTTCATTTTAAACCTGTCAACACTTTACTATTTAAAGTTGGTGTGCTAAATCCCAGTGGAACCAATATCTTTCTGTGCTTTAGTGTCATGCAATTTTAACTATAGTTTCCCAGTGACATTTTTTTTTCCATGTCAGTAGAGACCCTAATCGAGAAAATGAATATCCTCTTCCTGAAGCTTTTCTAAACTAAAATGTGATTGTTTTCCTCCACAGACACTTTCCAGCACTGTGGCTCTATAGATTGCCAAAACACTACTTACATTTTTCAGTTAATAAACTCTGTAGGAGGCAGTTTGGGAAACAGTTTAATCCAGGGCTCGATTGTAAGAGCACATTACATTATGAATATATCACTATGCAAACTGGCCTTCATTTTCACATAGCCTACTGCAGGAACAATGCAAGTGATGTTGGTTATAGCAAGTGTATGAGGCATCCCTTATACAAACAGAACTGATGGCATGATGTTGTATATAGGTCAGCCTTTGAAATAGCACTGTAGCTCAGAGACTGGACGAAATTGTACGTTGGAGGGAACAGTATTCACTTCTTGCAGCTGAAAGCATAGTTATATTTTAGACATTGAAAGATGGGTACCAGAGTGGAATTTCATCTAATTAGACTATTTTAAGTAACATTGTATCCCTTAATTGAACTGAATGTTACCAAAAGAAATTGGATTAAATGAGCTCACAATTGGAGTTCAGTGCTAAAATATAGCCTTATTTTTTGTTCTAGTTGAAGATGTCAAATCATCAGTTTAAATATATACCTACAGAGTAATAACAGCTCCTTTCAGTTTCTTAGTGCAGTGTCATTTCTAAAGATTGTTTTCACTGATTTTATGCTAAAATAGGAAAAAAGATGTGGCACTTTTTCATTTTTACAATGATGTGATATGTTCAGTTATTGCTCAGTATCTGCCCACATAAGGAGCAGTAATACAATTATGTTATGACATGGCTAATGACAGGGATGCTGACCTCGGCCAACAGTGGGAGGAGAAATAATGGGCTTTACTGTTTTCAGTGGATGCTTTTGTAGAATCATGTACTGAGTCTTTCTTTGGTGGATTTAAAAGTGAAGAAGTCAAAAACATAAACCCATGTTTAATACTAGTTACATACAAAGTAAAGAATAATAGGCATTTAGCATATTGGGCTTTTGTATTGAGAATGAGAGAGGTATGTGTATACTCTTTCCATATAAATGCAGTGGGAAGTTCCCATTGTGATAAACTCTGCTCTTGAATGTTAGGGCAAACATTAGACATGTGATGACTTTTGAGAAAGACAAGATTGATTATAGTCTCTACAAAATCTCCTTTGAGGTTATTTTTCTATGTGTACTGTATCATACATTGTATTTTAATGTGGCAAAACTCATCACATCTAAAATACAAGCATACCAAGATGGAGTCACGATTCGTATTTTGATTAATAAATGTAAGAAAGAGGAGGAGGGTGGGAGGAGGATGGGAGGAAGGAGGGGAGAAAGGGGAGGGTCTTAGGCAATTTAGAGCATCATGCTTGATTAATTCTCTGTCTTAATTCATAACTTCTAGGACTTTGGGAAATTCATAGTGGATACTTCATACATCATTTGTATAATTAAAACTCCTCTGGGAATTTTATTAGCTGGAAGCTTCCACAAGTTTTGAGGTCTTTAAATATGTTTTAAATGTAGTTGTAAGTAAGAAAGAGCATAAACCAAGAAATCTTATGGCCTTGGCCACTAAATCAGATATGACACAAAAACCTCAAATGTAGCTGTCTTGTGGGATATTTCAGTGTCACAAAATCCAGTTTTAAATGTCTCTACAAAGAAAGTTATAGTTATGAGCTCTGAAGGGATCTGATATTATTTATAACATAATATGCAATTCAGTATTCTTACAATTTAGCATATATTTTTAAAATTACTGAATGATAATAATAAGGAGAATTTAATAGTTTGGTTTGGTAGAAAAATTCACTATTATTTAAATGTCTAATTGAATGTGCAGAGTAGGTGTTTTATTTTTAAATGTTGGAATTGCAAAGGAATTGAGAAAAGAAAAGCAGTAAGGTGTTTGGAATTGGAGGAAGTTGGGAAATTTTAACAGTTCCTTCCTGGGTACCAAACTGAGTCCTCAAGGTTGGTTTTGCCATGTAGGGCTATTTCTAGTAGTCTTACTGTTTTGTGTGTGTGTGTGTGTGTGTGT